TACGGGATCCCTGTGTCTGTCTGCCTTAGGGTAATGGGTCCAGCTCCTCTTGTCTGAGGTGACTGTTGGCATTGATTCCTTCCTCTGTCGACCTGAGGATGAGGAGTCGATGTTTGCCCCCTTGTAAAGTTTGAGGGGGTCGGTGTGTCATGAGGGACAGGGGGGCGCATCCCTCCCCACGCGAGGTGGGTGTCCGTGGTCCGTCCCCACGCGAGGGCAGGTGGGGACCTGGCTGTCCGTGGCCCTGCCTGCCCAGGGAGGTCCCTGCAGGAGAGAGGGCACAGCTGCACCCCCTCCCCGTTTCCCTCTCCCTGTGCCCCTCGGTCACTTGGCGGGGCGTCTCTCTGGGGTGAGCCCTGTCCCTCAGCTGGCTGCCACCAGACGGAGCCACCAGCTGTTCACCGCGTCCAGAGCTGTGACCGTAGGGCGGCCGTACCCTTGTCTGCCTGGGCTGGGTCATCTGGTGCCTGATGCAGCCTTCTGGGCATGTTCCCTCAGTCCCTCTCTGGGCAGGGGACAGAGGTAGGGCAGGGTCTCCAGGTTTCATTGGGCTCTCGTGCTGTTGACAGTGGGAATGGACAGGAGGGAGAGTGGTGTTTGGGCTGAGATCGCGGTCACTTCTGAAGTGGGGCACTCAGCTTTTTGTGTGCTGGGGTCAGGACTGCTTATACCTTTGCTTGAGACTTGGGTGAGACTGCCTGTACATGGCGGTTTGTGAAACACTGTGGGTCTGTTGGGTGCTGGCACTGAACACGGCCATGGTGATGCAGAACAAGCTCTTTAGGCAGAAGGGTGGGGAATGACCCCGAGACAGCGGCTGTGTTTGACAGAGGCTCCGAAGTTCTGGTGTGTGTGACAGGCATTTCTCTTCTCAGGTGAGCCCCTCTGCTGAGGGGACGAACACTGTGCTCCCGGGTCAGGGAAACATGTCCCGTCGGAAACAGACCACTCCTAACAAAGTTCACTGTGAGTATGATGTTACACGGCGTGGTAGGGGCCTTGCCCTGGCTGGGTTGTGGTGCAGCGAGACTGGGAGGAGGGGGGACATGAAGAGGTATGGTCTGTGGGGGAACGGTGGTTACTCATGTTTCATCTTAGGGGCTGTAAGAAGAGAAACTGAGCTCTGTGCATCAGGGAAGCTGGCTGTGTCCTGGCACGGCAGGACAGGGATAGGCTTGAACAAACGACTAGTGCTGTGAAGGTAGGTGTGTATATGCAGGGCCTGTGGCTGTGCTTTGCATTCACACTGTCACAAGTGTGAGTTAGAAATGTAGCTTTAGGGCTCTGGCCCATTTTGGGTAGCAAAGGAAGTTCCAGGCAAGGTGGTTTGAGGCTGTGGCTGAAGGCCAGGGAGTCCAGACTCAACTGACTGGCCTTGGTCGTGGTACTTAAGCTCACTGTACCTCGACTTCCTACCAGATAATAAGTGAAGCCGTTTGCTCTTTTCTTGCAGGGAATGAGCAGTGACTAAATCATTTACTGGACAGATAAATGCTGTTGGATCGTTCTTGAGCTGAGCTGTTTCTCCAGCGTTGTCAGGACCTGGCATTTGTTTGCTAGAGAAAGAGCTGAAGATGCTGCACATCAGCACTTCTCGTGGGCAGGCTACAGCGAGGCGTTAGTGGAGCTGGGAGATGCGCATGGGTGGTTGGCTGCAAAGGGGAGCCTGCCCGTATGCAGCTTTTGTTTGATTGCAGCAGAGGGAAGTCGAGGACACTGAAGCTATGCCCTTGTACATACCCAGCTCTGTGTCTGGAGACACGTTGGGAATTTGGGCTGAAACGAGGAAAACAAATTTCTGCTTCTGTAGAAGTGTGGGAGCAAGGCTGAAGAGAGGGCCCTGGTATTGCTGAGCTGTAGTAGCCGTCAGGAGTGTGGCACAGAGAGCTGAGTGCTGCAGCCCTAACACTGCCTCACTTTGCTGATGCTGCTGGCTTGCATGTCTCTGTGTTTCTCCGTGCTGCCTTTTTGTATGGTTGTGGCAACAGGAATCTGTGCACGGTGTTCTCCGCACTAGGTGCGAATACATCGTGATACAACCTAACGCTGCACACTGGGACGTGTGCAGGGGAGAATTACCTCTGTCTGGGACTCGAAAGCTGCATTGGCTGCGGGAGCCAGGCGTGGGAGAGCTGACAAAGCTTCCTTGGTGGCCAGAGTAAGAGTCAAGACATGGCTTCTGGCATCTGCGCTGACTTGTGCTCTCCAATTCCTGCTTCTGGGCGCCGGGGTCAGCAGTGGACAGAGCGTAGCTTCGATTTCCTTGATGGTACATTAATGACTTTGGAATTGTCTTCCTTATAGAAATTTGGTATGTCCTGTGTTTTGTCCTGTGATGCTAGTAACACATCTTGTGTCCGCACACATTTGCTTCTGAGAGTGCCCAGATATTACTGCTGCCGTTTAGATCAGACTCCTGTAAGGCACGCGTTTACGCTGTCTCCGCTGGTGTAGGGTCATGGTCTCCCATGTATGGAAACCAGGGGCACAACAGCTCTAATGGTGCAGGTAGCCTTTCTGTGGTGTTTAGGGGGCTGATTTCTGCACTCCACTGCATAAAGGTTATGTTCTTCAGAAGCTTGTACTATTATGTACAAAACTATACATATTACGACGTTCACTTGTGCACTATTTTCACAGTGAACATTGCTTTTTTTATCTGCAATACAAGTGATTGTATCTCCAGTTTTGGTCTCAGGGAAGCTATCTGGGAAACATGATACCAGCAAGTGTGAGGTTGAGGTTATGGCATCTGCTGTGCCACAGAGAGGAGTTCTGGGACCTGTTCGCCTCCCTTAAACACAGCACATTGCTACAGAGCAGCTGTTCAACAGGAGCCATCGGGAGCAGCAAGCAGGACCCCAAGAAAATAAAGGAACTGAATGATACAAGAAACAGGTCAATGGTGATGTCTCCGCCTTGGGATGGAAAATCTTGCCTGTCTTACGATGACCACCACCAAATCATTGGGACTTCTCTGTCTACCCAGCCCGCTGTGTGTCTGGAGGGCCCAGAAATGCTGTGCAGTGCACTGCCGAAAATCGGAGAGAGCTTCATCTGCAAGGACTGGGTGAGCCAGCAGAACCAGGAGTCAGGCTGAGACAGAGCAGACACGTTACTGAGACTGCTTCACAGGGACTGCAGTGGTTGGGAGGAGAGGAATGAAAGGGAATGGCAGGTATGCAGCTTTTTACGCACTTGTCTGCAGCTGGGGCCTGATTTGGCAGGCTGCGGGGCTGGGACGTGCTTTTTGGATTTGCATAAATGCCACTGTGAATATCTAACTGGACGAATCTGTGGGAGGACGGTGCCTTCTTCTTCCTTGCATGGCCGCTCCGCGTTATCTTCCTTCTTGGATCCACCAGGGCAGGCGACAGCTGCAGATCTCCTCTCCGTGCCTTGCTCGGTGCCTCCTCTTTCCAGGGTTTCCTTCCAGGCTTGGCATGGCCCTGTTTAACCTGCTCTTACCACAGCATGGTTTGCTGTCCTCACTTCGCACGGAATCACTTTGGCATGCAGAGCGACCAGCTGGGAAGTTGTGTGGTTACAAGCCAAAACAGTTTTAAATGGAAGTCGATGTGTAAGGAAATTCAAATAATACAGAAACAATTAGAAAAATTACTGTTATCAGAAAAGTCTCGTGCATGGCAGCCAGTCCTTCTACAGTTTTTGTAGTCATTTCCCCTTTGGCAGAGCTGCAACACATAATTGGCTCTTAGTAATTTAATTTTGTTTTGCCATACGGTGCATGAAAAACACTCACACCTGACAGAGTGGTAACAAGTGAAACTGTAATACTGGAATATACTTACTGCCTCCCCCATGACACGTTGATTTGAAAAATACAATGCAGTGACATTGTTCCTGTGGAGATACCTTAATTGGTTCAATTTGGTCTTTATTTTCTCCCAGACTCCAAAGAATAAAGGTATAAAATCTAAGCTGTTGATCTGACCTGGCATTCGAGCCCATCCGTTGCTCACTCTCACTCCATCAGCTGTGGGCTCCTCGCTGTTCTTGTGCTTGCAAAACCTCGCTGCAGGCGTTGGCGCGCACTTCTGTTTTCTCTCCCTGCTGTCCCGTGAGCAGCTTCTCTTTCTGTTGCTTGTGCCCTTTGCAAGTGGTGCTTCTTTTAGATCTCTTGAGAACAAACAGCTCGCGTTAGTCAAATTAATTCCCACTTCTAGCTCTATTTATCACGGTCCCAATATCCCATTAATCCTCTATTTCCCTCTGGCACACGCATTCTGTGCTCTTCAGTCTTCCTTGAATTCTGCTGTCTATAATATTCCCAGTTTGAAGAGAAAGTGTCTTGCAAGAAATGGCACCTGGCATTCAAACCGAGCAGAAATGTTACTTGCATCAGAATCCTTGGTTCTCGAAGGTCTCTGTGGGCTGCCATTGTTAACTCTTTCCATTGTGTTGTTTTTCATTTCAGTGTGGACAACCCAGAGTAGCGATGGGGCAGGTGGAGTAGATCCACACTGGTGCAAAGACTTGCACATTTCAGGTCCAGGAAAGGAGCACAGAGAAGACCTACACGGAGAGGGACTTTGCTTTGATGCACAAGGAGGGAATAAAGTGGCTCGTCTCTGGGAGACCTTTCTGTTTAGGAAGAAAGACAGGGGAATGATGTAGCTCCTTTTGGTTTTGTTTTGTGGAGTTTGGGGTGGGGGCTGTTTGTTTGTGTGTTTATTTTCCAGAACACCTGAGAGTTGCCCTGCACTCATACAGTTCAAGAAGGGAAGGGCTCAGGAAAAAATCCCTTTCTGGTCACCAAGTCGCTGCACCACCAGCTCGTAGCAGTCGTAGCTGCCCATGTTGCACAGCGCCGCAGGGCTGCCCCCTACCTCCACTGCTGCTCTCCTGGCACCCCCTCACTCACCAGAGTACGGAGAGGAGAACTGCAGTGCAAAGCAGAGACAAATTTTGTATGATCTTGCGCTGTCCTACGTCTCTGGCTGTTTGTAAAAGCAGATACGGTGACTTGTTGTGGTCAGCCTGCAGCCCTTTTTGTATTTAATAAAGAAACTTCTGGAGAAGAGTCTGTGAATTCAATATTGATCATAACCTCCTTCACTGACAGCGGTGATCCTAAAGCTGCTGCCTGTCTTGCTCCCTTTCCGCACGAACGTACGCATATTCAGAGTGGGGTGGAGGAGAGGGTGTAAGCGTCTGTATGCGAGTGTGTGCGTGCAGAAACAAAAGTATAACCCTGTACCTATCAAAGCTCTAAAGCTTCATCAAAGGAGGACTTGGTCCATCTGTGGATGAGCAGGACACTCTTCCCTAAGTGCTTTTGGGGGCAATATTAGTTTAATACATAAGAAATTCTGAATAAGCTAAAGATAGCATTTTTAAAGTCTGTCTTTTCCAATCCCATGATGCCTTTTAGCTACAGGCCAGTGGGGAATGCACAGGTTGTTATCTGCTAACAGCACCGGTCTGGTGAACAGTCTGCATTTCTGGCTGTAAGCTGGTGGTTCCCTGCACTGCACTGGATCGATGCTGACCTGGCTCTGGGCACACTGTGGCACACACGATGGCTCTCAGCTGTGGTTGATGCTGGTGTGCCCAGCAGGAGCAACTCCCTCCTGTCAGCTCCTGTAGAGATCACAGCTTCTCACCCCTGCCCGTCTGGGCTCCAAGCTGCACAGGGGGATGTGAGCCATTGGGAAGGGAACAGCAGAAAACAAACACAGAGCTGCTTCTGCTGGCAGGGACAGGGGTTTTGGGACCCTGTGCTGTGACTGGCACAGGCAGCACATCTCCCACCTGTGTCCATCCTGTGTCCTGTAGGTTTCCTCATTTCACTGTGCTTTCTCTTTGTCTTGCAATGCTCTTTCGGTCTCTGGGCTTTTATCCTGGGGATGTGGATATCTCTGCTTGGAGAGGCGGTGACTGCAGCGTGCTGCTCACACAGTCTGGATCTCAGTCGCTGCGATGCGAGGTTTGGTCCAGATGTCAAAGCAGCACTGCAGGTTGTGAACCGTTCAGTGCTGGGGTGGGGACACCTGTGTCACAGCAGTCACGATGGCACCCGCTGCTTCCGGTGACAAATAGAGGTGGGGGCTCCTCAGCACCTCCCATCGGCTGCACGGATTGTGTCCTCCAGTCTCTGCAGAAACCTTTCTCACATTTCTGAAACAGAACGAGAAATGCCTTCAAATGCTTTTGGAAACCTCCACGGGGATGTTGGGAGCTAAAACTCTTCTCCCACGCTCTCCGTGAAACTTCTGAAGGTCTTTGAATTCTTCCATAAATTACTGCTTTTTAAAGCACTGCCGAAGCGGCGAGGTAAGCACCAGAACAGCAGTGTGGGTACGAGCATGGGCACAGCTGGCTGAAAGTTTGGTGTGTGGGAACATCCCCGTCCTCGGGACAGGACTGGTGCTCTCCATGGGTCAGGAATTCAGTTCCCTGGTAATACTGATGCCAAAAGGTATCTCTATACCAAAAGGTACAATCTTGTTCCTAAAGCTTTTGTTTTATGTGAAAAATGCACTGCATGTTCCTTCGCATTTTCACATTTATGCTTTGAGAACTTACAAATCACTTGATAAATTTAACCCAAAAGCTGGCTCACTGGGAACTTCAGCACCTTGTCCCAGGTAATTTGATTTAATATGAAAATTAATAGTTGCCTTTTATTGTTATTCTTTGGAACCAAGAGTTCTCCTTAGCAGGGATTGCTCTAAGATATTCTTTCAGAGAAGCACAAATTATTCCACCTTTCAGTGTGTTTGAGTTTGGGTACTAGTGATCAGTGTCCTTCCACAAAACAGACTGTAAGCTGTCCTAAATAAGCACCTCAGCTTTCCGGGTTCCTTCCCTCAGTTTTCTGTTTCGAGCACATGAAATCTCACTGAGGTGTTTTTTAGCCAGAGGGACTCCTGTGCAAGGCAGTGGAGCGACTGATCTGTCCTTGTGGGAGAGCACCAACACCTTCCTCTGCTCAGTCCTGGGACGTGCGGTGGTGACACAGCAGCAGCCCCTGCTCAGCGCCTCTGTGAGAGCAGACGAGAGCAGGCACTCAGGGAGATGCTGTTCTGTGCAAGTTGCCTGTTACAGCAGGGAATGGGCATTAGTGGTTTAGAAGAGACCGCCATGTAGCACTATGCCTGATTTGGGACACTGCCACCATGCCCGAGTGGCTTCCCCTCCACCTAGAGCTGCGCTGTAGCTCTGTTGGCAGAGAAAGCCACCTGGTTACATATGGCAGACAGATGGGGTCTCTGTTGTTGTGGTTGTGGCTGGAGTGGCACATAGGGAGAGGGCAGAGAGCAGCTGAGGCTGTCCTGGACACGGGGCTGGGCTCACATCAGTGGGTACCAGAAGCTGGTGTGCAGGGTAGGTGAGCAGAGCGGTTACTTGGATGCTTTCTGAGAGGTGACTCCAGAGGTTTGCACAGCGCAGGTGAGCAGCCCCACATCTGCAGTGTTTTTGGCAAGCCTTGGTGGCGGAGGCGGTGGAACGGCGCCGGTCTGACTCTCTGTCCTTGTGGCTGCCAGGGGAGCGGCTGGAGGAGCAAGCCCGCCAAGCCATGATGAAAAGCAACTTTCCCGGAGCCCTCGGGGACCAGAGGCCATCCCTTCACCCGCTGCAAGATCCCGACTCCAGCAGCAGTGAGCAAGCCCGCCAAGCCATGATGAAAAGCAACTTTCCCGGAGCCCTCGGGGACCAGAGGCCATCCCTTCACCCGCTGCAAGATCCCGACTCCAGCAGCAGTGAGTTCTGCCCCTTCCAGTAGCAGCAAGGCAGGGGGCTGGGGGGGCGCTGCACAGCTCGGGGGGGGTCTTCTGAGGACAACCTCACCCACCTCCTCCTCGGGGGGAGCCCTCAGCTCTGTGCGGGTCAGCAAAGAGCAGGAGCAGGGCTGCTCCCCAAGGGAAGGGAGCCCAGGGCCAAGGGCCACCACAGCACAGATCTGGCAGTAACCACACCACTGGGACTCAGTCCCAGCTCTGCAGAGCAGGGTGGTAGCAGCGGGGGTCCAGCTGATGGCCAAGCAAGGCAGGGTGATGGGTCAGGCCCAGGGACTCCACAGAGCACAGTGGTCCCTGAAGGGCTGCAGTTTGGGTTTAAGTGGAGCTACTGGGCAGGGGGTGTGGGTAGAGGCTGGTCAGGACGGTTAAGGCCTGTGGTGCCCTCAGGGCCCCGGCACTTGGAGTAATGGCTCTTCATGTTCCAGGCGGCAGCGATGATGAGGAAACCACCCAGGATGAAGTTTCTTCTCATACATCTGAGGAGGACGGCGCAGTGGTGAAAGTGAAGAAGGAACTGGAGAATGCGGAGCAGCCTGCAGCTGGAACCCCGCTGGTGAGAGGAAACGAGGCAAGTGTGTACTCTGCACTCACCTCCCAGCAGAGATGGGTACTGCCTGATGGATGGGTACCTCCTCTCCCCGCCGTGGTTTCTTACCTTTTTCTCCCACCTCCTCCAAAGGTCTCCTGGCAGGAGGAAAGGGTATGAGTAGCCCTTGGGCTGCCAGGAGCAGGAGCAGGCACAAACGGAGAACAGCAGCTTCTCCTGGCTGGTCAAAGTGATTGTGCAGAGCGTGCCACTTTCCTTCAGTTCTGGTGCCTTTTTCTGGCTGATGTCTCCTTCCCTTCTGCTCCAGAGCTGGCCTTGCTTACCTGAGCCACTGTGCTGGCAAGAGCCTGGGTGAGCGGAGGCCAGGAGGTCTCTGCCTGTTCTCCCCAAGACAGCGCGAGTTTTGCTCAGAGGCTGCGTAAAGGAAGTTTTGGACTACGAGAACACAAACCAGCCCCAGCGGTCGGGCGAAGGCCTGCGTGCAGTGTGGAGCAGATGCTGAGGGATCCATGTGCCTTACAGCGCAGCTTTTCCTCCCTGCAGGTGCCCGAGAGTTTGAGCGCTGACCCTACGCTGGGGCTGTCTCAGTGCCCCCTCTGCCAGCTGGAGTGCGGAGGCCGAGAGCAGCTTATTGCCCACGTGTACCAGGTAGGTGGTGGTTCCAAACTGCTGGGTATCGCTGGCCTTGAGCCCCAGACACAGAAGCAACCCAGAGCACAAGGTGGCTTTGTTCTGGTCTCTGCAGTCACAGAACTGAGCTTCTAGCTAGGATGTGGTTGAAGTTTACAGCAGTAAACTGTGTCCAGAGGGCATCCTGGGGAAGGAATCAGTGAGGCACCAGCCTGCAGATCTGGAAAACACAACTCTGTCCCAAGGCAATCTCTGCGAGCAGTTGCAGGCTAAGACCAGGCAGCTCCTCAGATTAAACATGGAAGCAATCAGTGAGATAAGAAGCCCTCTTCCTCATCACTCAGTTCTTTATTTCGTACCTGTATCACAGTTCCTATCCATGAAAACAGCTGTTCTTCCTCTGAAATTATTCCGGTGTTGGAGGAAATCAGTGCTGGAATCTCAGAGGTTTTGTGGTCAGTACTTTCTCCACAGCACATCAGAGTCTGTAAAAGAAGGAATGAAGCAGAACTGATTTGGCCACTTACCCGCACCAGCTGTCTGTCTCCATCCCAGCGCTTCCTCACCTGCATCCTGCCCACTGTTATTCCAGTCATGCTTTGTCCAGCAACAGCAGCTCCTCAGGTGCCTTTCTGAAAACAAGGGTCAGGTCTTACGATCCAGATGTTTTGGCCTTAATTATTCCTCTTGCACTGCAGCAGAGCTGTAGAAAGGTTTCCTCTTTGCTGTTTGACTTGTGACACCCTAGATGTCTTGAGCCTGGTCTAGGAGCTGTCAGACAGTTTAGTGGTGAAGTGTTGCCATGCCAAGAGGCTGAGCCGTGTGGTTTTCCAGATCTGCTGAGCGTGCCTTAGGCCGGGCAGGGAGCTGGGCGGTTTGTAACCAGCAGCCGCACGGTTGTTTTGCAGCACACAGCAGCGGTGGTGAGCGCCAAGAGCTACATGTGTCCCGTATGCGGGAGAGCCCTCAGCTCACCGGGATCCCTGGGGCGACATCTCCTGATCCACTCGGAGGACCAGCTGTCGAACTGCGCGGTGTGCGGAGCACGCTTCACCAGCCACGCCACGTTCAACAGGTCAGGGTCACCCTGGCTGGCGAGTGGGCTTGGGACCCACATTAGTGATGAGGTGGGTTGTCCTAAATGACACGGAAGTCATGGCTCGGCACCCACGAAGGTCTGTAGGAGAGTTGTGAACACCCCCAGTGAGTGAGATTCCCTCCATCCCTTCCTGCCTGCAGCTCTGCACCACCTGCTAAGGCCTCCATGGGCTACACTGCTCAGGGGGTGTTTCTTAGCTCAGGGAGGGACTAAAACTGTGCCGAAAGCGCTGGGGTCTCCAGTCATTGGAAGATGATCAGCTGCTCCCCTGGCCCCGCAGTCCATCAGAGTAGGTCTGTACTGCCCTGATGGTTTCATCGCTTCCACAGCAGGACTACAGGCAGAAACCAAAACGTTCCTTGTTTGTTTCTTGCCTGGTGCAAGATTGTCCAGTGGCCAGCGCAACAGGGCTGGGAGGAGGAATCCAGAGATGATGGGGAAGAGCACCTTGCCGGTTGATTCCTGCTTTTGTGCTCTTCCAACCCAGATACTGCTCTGGGCTAACCCCTGTCCTTCCCCCGGGTACAATGGTGTTTCATTGCAGACACTCAGATGTGTCTGTGGTGGGGATGGTTTAGCGGAGGCCCCTGTCATGGGCTGTAGCAGGGGCACTGCTCGTTGCAGCCCTCTGGGCACTCTGAGACGGGGGCTCTTCCACCAGCACCAGCTCTGACTCTGC